TATATATATATATATATATATATAAATATACATATACATACATATATATATATATATGTACATATATATACATATACATACATATACACACACACACATATATATATATATATATATATATATATATATATATGAAAAAAATATAGTCTTAAGGTGTGCTATATTATAAGATAAAGTTCTCGATATTAGAGATAGAGCGTATATAAAAGTGAACATTGATGTGAACACTTAGAGGCGACAGGCTGTTTCATGCTAGACGCAATCGTCAGGCCACGTGTGTATATATATATATATATAAATTCATGAAGCATTCATACAAAAAACAAATATAGAGGTTAATTATTTAAATGGCGAGAATACATCATCGCAAACTATATAAATATGATACACCAACCCCGAACCTGTATATGAATGATATGATCCCCGTTTATAAATTCCAGTTGCATAAGGTCTTTTTAATTTTTTTACAAGCTTTCGTCTGTTCCTACAGACATCATCAGGTATGGAAGTAGATTTTGTTCTTGTTTTTACTTTTCGGTAATAAGAGGACAACGAAAATAGAGATGTAACCCGAAAAAATGCTATGAGAAATGTGTTATTGTTTTGGAACGTGCGGTCGCAACGCTGAGTTTGAAATTAAATTTTAAGGTTGTGCGTTTTTGTACAAATATAGCAATAAGAGAATTCTTTTTTACTGGTAGATTTTCCGTCAATGTGGCATGAACTATATTGTTCAATAATTACAGTAATGTCACACTTATTATCCGAAAGTTGCACGTTGGATCAGTTATTTAATTTCAATTAAAAGGTGCAATTATAATTTATAAATTCATGAATCATTCATACAAAAACAAATATAGAGGTTAATGATTTAAATGGCGAGAATACATCATCGCAATTAAACAATGACATCAAATCTTACTCAGAACTACAAAAAAGTTGGAGTGAACTAGAATCATCGATATCTTTAATGGAAACAGCAGATAGAAGAAAGTTTTTGTTCTGCTAGGCCTGCTGCTTTTGCTAGAGTAAATAGCCAATGCTGTTTCGTTTTAAGAATCCTCAACCAATGATGATATAATACTTACTAAGATCGTATTGTAGGTAATTACTATCGAATGAAGAGTTCGATTATCAAAAGCTCTTTCATAAGTGAACTTTTGCAAAAATCTAATCTATACTTCATAAATGAACATATATTTGAACTTTTGGTTCTCTTTCCCTATTTCACAAGTTAATTGCCTGAAGTAATAAATTCTTCTCGCTATCTGCTCTTTATTTATACTAGCTTCCCAAAGGTTTTTACTTTTTCTGTGATCTATAGAGCTTCTTATTATTTTATATACCATTGGTAATGCAAACAAAAATCTCAGTAATTTGTACCGTTTAAAGTACACACACCACAGTCGGGTCAATCATCTTATTGATCGACGTATTGTTGTTTTATTCCGCAAAAGTGACGTTTGTTATTCTGTTTTTCTAACGTCTACCTCAGTATTATTTTTCCCCCATGGTGTTTTGTAATTGTCGATGGAGATTTTGGGAGAGAAAGAGCCCTTAATAGCTTTCTCATTATCCTTCCAGAGTCCAGAAATTCCGTGGTATAGACAGTATCATTACTTAGGCTAATTTCTAATACATCCAAACTCCATTCTATATTTTCGGATACGCCAGCAAGTACGAAAAGTTTGATGCGAACTACCCGAACAGTTATGTTCCATAGATTTCTTAGTTCGTGGCTAAGTTTCTGGCATTTTTAAATTACAGCAATATCGTTTTCTATCTATGGTACGCTGATGCAATTACATCTGTGTTTCTAACAATTCCTCTTTTTCTTTTCTCGTCTAATAAATTTCGTTTTCTGATTATTATTATTATTATTATTATTATTATTATTATTGCTAATAATTATAATAATATCAGTGTACTCATGCCGTCAAAATGATGGCAATTATTGAAAGTTTTAAGGTTGACATGCAGTGAAACAAAAGTTTTGAAACCCTTTACAGGGTGTTGCAGCAAAATCCGACACTTGACAAAAAGAAAACGAAAAAGACAATAAAAACAAAAGTTTTATATGCAGATACCCGACTGTTTATTTAGCAACAGGTAGAGGTACATACTACATTATTTTTCAATGTAACCGCCGGCGGCGGCGACGTCCATCTCAAGGCAGGCGCGAAATGAGTCACATGCTTTGACGACCATGTCCTTGTCAATAGCGGCAAACACCTCCACGATGGCAGCCTTCAGAGATTCGACCGTGTTGTGGGCTTGCTTGTTGGTCTTGGCCTCGATCACACCCCAGAATAAATAGTCAAGGGGGTTGCAGTCAGGTGAGGAGGGCGTCCACGAGTCCGGCGACCAGTGGTGAGGAACACTGTTGAGCAGCCACGCTTGGGTTGTCTTGGCCTTGTGTGCAGGAGCGGAGTCTTGCTGGATGACGTAGGGGCGTCCGGCGGCGATCTTGTCCATCCAGGGCTTCACCAGGCTACTCAACACCTCCTGGTAGATCTCAGCGGTGACTCTCAGGCTCTTTTGAAAGAAGAACGGGGGCATGACCTCCTCCTCGCTACACACAACCTTTTCTCGGATGCTTTCGTGTTGTATGTCAGGTATTCTTTTTTTTTACCTTGAGATGTCACGGCTGACATCGGCTAGTTTGTTGGCATCGATGTTAAGTCTGTTTGAGGGATATTTTTCTCGCCGGATATTATAGGCGGGCTTGGTTGTTATCGTTGTCGGATTTATTGTAGCAGTATAAAATGCTACCATTACTTCAATATACTCGTCCCTAGACCATTTACGTATTTTTCTTTTTGTGGGATTTTCTTTTAATGAATACCTCACTTGGGATGGTAGCCGTGGCTGACCTGCGTGACGACTGATACGCTTTTGCAATAATTTTCGTTGTATCAGGATTACAGTTAGTTCGTATACGCGGGGTCTTGTTCGTGAGCACCAGAGCATATCAATACTATGGTGACCCATTATTATTATTATTATTATTATTATTTTATTTGATTTCTGGCGTTTACACATTTCTTTCCGGGTCCCGCCCAGGGACCTAAGGTTAGAAATGGCGTCATGACACTTTCCACTGACAGAAAAAAAAAGAATTAAATTACATAGATAAAGCCCTTCGTAAGGTGTGGGCTGTACTTGTCAGAACAATTTTTTGTATCAACTTGAGGCATGGACTTCCAGGAATCCCTTCAATTAGTTTACTGCAATCTTTTCCAACCATTCCTAGGGCTCCAACTACAACAGGGATTGTTGATGTTCCCATATGCCACATTTTCGAGATTTCTATTTCAAGGTCCTTGTACTTTGACAACTTTTTGAATATCTTCAAAGATACATTGCAGTCGGCAGGGACTGCCATATCAATAAGGAGGCACCGTTTTTGTTTGTGGTCTTTAATAACAATATCTGGCCGGTTGGCCTTGATTGTTCTGTCAGTGTGTATTGTGTAATCCCATATAATTGTAACAGGTCCTATCTCCGTAACCGGGTCTGGGTGGTGTTCATACCAGTTTCTTTCAGTTTCCTTCCCGTAGAAGTTGCAGATTTTCCAGTGCAGATATTGGCCCACTCTGTCATGTCGGGTTTTATATTCAGTGGGTGACAACACCGTACAACCTATTAATATTATTATTATTATTATTGTTATTATTATTATTAATATTATTATTATTATTGTTATTATTATTATTATTATTATTATTATTGTATCCTCCTCGTTTCTTCTAGTACATTTTCTTTCCTCTTCCAATTATCAGTAATAAGAGTTTAATAACAGTTAAATGCTCTTCCCAAATAAGGTAAAAAACAAAAAATATAATTATAATTTGCGTCAAAAATGAATGAACTAATAGGTACCAAGTAAATATCAGGTATATCAACAAATAATATAACTTAGTAACATTTAATTTGGGGCTTTATAATAATCAATATATATATATATATATATATATATATATATATATTATAATTATTTTTTAAAAATATGATTCTTTCGTTACATAAGAGTTCTCATGTTTCAAAAACGAGAGCCGAAACCCTCAATATAATTATTAAAATTAAATTGAATTAAAGTAACAAGCCCCGTTTCATACTCAAGCGAATATTTAGGAATAACCTATCTTGAAATTTACGCATCTCTATAAGCATGTTCATTCATGACTATGGAAACGGCTGGGGCGACCATTTTTGATAAGAGGCCTAAGAGGTAATTTTTATCCACAAACAGCCCAGTAATGTAAGTGAAACCCCAAACAATAAAACACTATGAAAGTATAAAAATACATTGTATATTAAAAACAGTAATCTTTTTTTAGATAAAATACTTAACAAAAATACATTTTAAATCAAAATGGGCAACAATGCATTTCAGTAGTTGAATGCATACAATTACATTCAAAATATACAGTCTCTCGATTTCTATCTCAATCATTCGTTCTATGTATATATATATATATATATATATATATATATATATATATATATATATATATATATATATATATATATAATTATATCATTATTATTATTATTATTATTAAGAAAAATAACAACTTTAAGAATACATGGTGGTTTGCTCCGTTTTACATTGACCTCTCTTGATTATATCCTGTTTAGAATTATCCATACAGATTACCAAATAATCATATATATATATATATATAGCGAGAGAAAGGAGGAGATATCTTATCTTAACCATTGTATTTTCTGCATTGGTAAAATGAATTTCTGTTTAGACATTTCATTCTATTCTCGCATGCATGAAAATACACTACTTTTTAAATCATTACAATAACAATATTCAAAAGAACATAATACGAATAATAAAAAAAATGATGTATTAATCACCTGATAACACCTGCATACACATGAGATATTCCGTTATTCTGGCAACATCCCTAATATTTGCTTAGAGTCACAACTCCTGTTGACATAACAACAGTCTCATTTCTAAGATGATCACGCTTCGTAACCGCTTACGGTCAAATCACGCTGAAAACACCGGTTCTCGTTCGATCACCGAAGTTAAGCATCGTAGAGCCAGGTCAGTACTTAAATGGGGGACCGCTTGGGAACACCTGGTACTGTAAGCCCCCAAAGTCCAACCCTTACCTCACAGTCGGTGGGGGGATGTAAACGGTAGTGTCAGAGCTATGCCGCCCGGAACTTCGTTCCTGGTAGGGCCACCCAAGGCGGACAGGTCTGACACACACGCCGGCCCTAACAAGGGCTCTGGTGAAAATCCAAGGAGCGTCTGCATCGGCAACCGGCGGCTTCTGGTCGTTCCTGTCTCTGCGTCTGTGGGAACCCCGCGGCAAGCAAGAACGTTATCCGAGAAGGCCTGGGTACCCTACTTCTGTAATTTATCCCAAGAATCTTCTTCTCATAACAGGAAGAAGCCGGCTCAATCCGCCCAGGGTGAATGCCGCATCAGTACAGTACAGTACAGTAGTACGCTTCGTAACCGACACATATATAAAATCTCATTGTCTTAGAGAATTTTGTTGAGAAATATTATCCAACTCATTTAAAAAAGTGCAAATAGTGAAGGCTTCTTTGTCTATCAGCATCATTTCTATAAGGTATGTAACCAACTAACGTATCACGTACATTAATGTAGGTATTAAACCCGGGCTTCTACTCACGATAGTTCATATTGATAGAGAATTATGTGTGTTCATGTGTCTATGTACTCTTCATTTTTCTCTATTCTCTTTTCTCTTTCTTTCGTCAAATTCTTACCCCTATTTCCTAACATTTTCTCTGAAATTTGCAAAATGGACGGAATTAATAATTCTCTTCACTCTTTTTTATATTCTTTAGGTTTTTATTTTTTTAAATTCTGCCCTTTCCAGTGTCACGTTTTGTGATAGTTTCGAATTACTTTCCTTCGCTTCAACGGGAAATTTTGATGTGTTTATTTGTATATGTGTACTTGGTGTCACTTCATATAGACTGTCCTCTCTTTCTCTATTTATTAACCTATTTGCTATCTTTTCGTTTTAGATTTCCCTTTATCCTTTCTTTCGTTTTAGTTTCCGGAAAAAGTATATATATTTTGTTAATGTTTCCATTGTTTTGTTTTCTTTGCAAGTTGCTTAACTTGTTTAGTGGCGAAACTATTGTTATGAATAATCAAGAGTGGTCTCTCCTTGTTTTGTTACTCTCCTGTTTGAGAGAGATATTTCTGTTTACTTGGACTTGTATTCTCAGTGTACTTTTGTCGTTACAACTATATACCTTTTTTCTTTTTAATGTCAATATTCCGTATCGTTTTTACTTTTCTTATTTCCTACTTCCGTTTCGTCTTTTTCTCCATTTCATTTCTATTATTATGTCATTACATTCTTATTCATTCCATATTTTAGAGTTAACTCGTTTTTAGATTCTACCAGTTGTAGATTTTGTGTTGATGTTCTTTCAAAATGTTTCACTCTAGAAGTAATTTAATTATGACAAGCAATGTCAGAAATCTATATTTATAAAATCCACTTCAAAATTAAATGTGTTTGCATAATCATTTTTACACGAATCCTATATGTACTTTTAGAAAATAAATTATTCATTTATGAACAAAGAACAATAAGTCAGTTACATTCTAAAATGTAAGCTATTACAATGGAAAGAAAGTCTTGTCGCATTCTTAAATCTTTTTGAATGTACGTTTTCAGTACTTATGTAAAATAAAAATATTTTTACGTTCTAATGTTTTACATTTTTTGCAGATGATTCAATATCAGAGAAGGTAAATTTTCTATAGATTTTATATAATTAAAATAGGTCAGTGTTTGATAATGGAATCAGTTACTCTATGCAGGATGAATTCAAAATTTAGCAAACAGAAGCGCCAGAAAATGTTCGTTCTATCTATCGAAATGAATCTTTATGTATCCTAATATTGAATTCATGCCAGATATAGTTGAGAGAAGCCCTAAGCAAACTGCAGGAAAATTAGCAAAAGCATTAAATAAAAGCCAAACATAGATAAAATAAAAACCTTCATGAACACAGACAATTATCTAAACATGATCAACTGTTCTCCAATCATCTAACTCTTTCCTAGCTTAATAAAAGTGTTGCTACTGATGTGAGACTTGCTAACTAACTTGCTATCCTGGGTAGGATCATTACCACTAATGAAAAGCGAGTTCCTTATAACCATATCAAACGGAAGCAACAAAGGTTAGCACCCACTGAAAAGGGAGAAGCTATTCCCAATCCAGGACAACACTCGAAAAAATTATGAACTTTGTTAAGTAGTTTATGATGAGTTTTTTTCTATCAGGAAATCCTAAACTGTAACAAAACATTTAATGTGAAGTATTGTGATCAGTTGGAAATATTGTAGAAAAAAATTCATATCGCTGGTTAATCGTTAACGCACATTACTTTTTCACCATAATACACAGCTACATATATTGGCCATGTCACTTATAGAAGTAAATCATCCTTATCATCCAGCCTTTGCTCCATCTGACTATTATCTTTTCAGAATTGTTTGAACATTTTGTTGTGGGATTTTTATTTAATTGTAAGGAGGTTAAAATGATAATAGGTGTTTCTTTGTATCGTAACTTGAAAGATTGCGAGGGATTAACAGTTTACATGTAGATGGATTTATATTATCAATAATGGGTGGAAACATTATGTTGCTTTGTTATATCAGTTAGAAGCAAAATATTATTTTTCTTTGCTATCGTCAAATGTGACTGAATTTTCTTTAAAACCTAATGATATACACACAACTTTACGAAACGCATTTTAGTTTCCTGACACAAATTTGTGAGGACAAAGTAATATAGACTATCAAATAATAAATTTAATTATAAAGAATAACTAAAATATTCCATAGAATATATCAGTCTTCAAATGGAATTGTATTCAACAAAAACCGTTATCACCCTTGTTGAGTGCCTTGAACCAGTCTTGAAATCAACTGCAGCCTACGCCATGTCCATTCTAATAGCCATCAGTAAATCTTCGATATTGTGGTCGGAGATCTCTCTCTCTCGCAACGCACATTTAGTAATCCAGTGAATTGAAAATAAGGAGAGCAAAGATCCCATATTTTTGGTAGGGTGATATAATCTAAAAATATTCTCGATCAGCCACTCCTTGATCACTTCTGCATACAACTCCTCCTTGGATCCATCCCTTGATCATTGGGCCCAGCTTCTTGTTGTAGGAAGTGGTATGAGTCTAGGTAATTTCTAAGAAATAATAAGATAAATGACATAGCATTCGATTTGGATGCTCCGGAAACACAACCATCACCGAAAAGATTAAATTTATGTGCATTGCTATGGATGCTCAATCATATTGCATGTTCGCATGACCACTTTCAAGTCGCTGTTTTTTTCTTTATGGTTGGCAACTAGAGCATTGAGCACGGTGTGCCTTTTTATTACCTCTGTTAGAATGGAAGCTGTAATGTGAACGCACTCAAAATAACTAGAGAGACATGAGAACGTTAGCATTTGTCGCATACCGCGTAACGTTATGTTCGGCAACATTCCATACACACACACACACACACATATATATATATATATATATATATATATATATATATATATATATATATAGTTGAAAGTACTTGCGTATCAAAGAAAGACCTTATAAAGCTTATAATTTAAAAACAAAACAAGGGTTATAACATTCATCGTGTGATTTGTAGGTTAATGCACCATTAAAATTTTGTTTGCGAAGGGATTTCGCCATTTTATATCATTAACTTTACTAATCTTCTTTTTGTATGAATGATTCATTGTCATATAAATTCAAATGCACCACATATTTGATTTAAAAGAACTGATCCGACGTTCAAATTTTGGGGATAAAATCTGAGACATTACTCTATTTATTGAACAATTTAGTTCATGCCACACTAACTGATAAACTTCTACAAAAAAATAAAAAACAAATCAAATTGCCATATTAGTAAAAAGACGCACTTTCTTTAATTTTCAAAAAATGCATCCTTAGCGTTGCGACCGCACGCTCAAAAAGTTTGTATCCGTTAACAATAACACATTTTAAAGAAATATATATATATATATATATATATATATATATATATATATATATATGGTATGACAATTGGAAAAATCTTACATTTTGCCGACGCGTTTCGTCTTCCGACTTTTTACAAGGCAAAAAAGCAAATCGAAATGTTTTTGTTGTTATAGTTGTCATTTGATACCAATCTGTCTTGTCCACAGAATTCATCTGGGAATTTTATATATATATATATATATATATATATATATATATATATATATATATATATAAACATGTTTCGTTAAAGACGAATGTCTGTGTGCGTGTGTGTGGGTTATAACTTTTGCAAGTGTCACTCCCCATCTGCCAGCCTGTCACTATTCTGGAGAAGAAATCTTAAATATGGCAGGTCACACTTTGACCACTTAACGATCGAATTTGGCTTGACGTTCTCCATGAAATGAGCTGCAAAATATGTCGCTTTTCCCGTCTCTCCTCTCTCCTTCCCCTCATTGCACGCGCTGCTCCGTATTTCTCTTTCTTTTTTTTCTTTTTTTCCATCATGCTTTTCCTGTTAGTCTTTGAGTTTTCTATGTGCCTTCCTAAAAGAACCACTGACGCCAGCTGACAGACACAAAGACAGAACTTCGATGTGTCAAGTAAAACTGCCTCAAACACTGAGCTTCCAAATTTACTTTCCTTTTTTTTTTAAAGCTATGTTGTGTTTTTCGCGGTAAAAGATGAAGAATTACTATCGTTCTACAAAATAGTATCTTTATTTTCGTAACAACCTGCTGGCTGATTCGCTTTTCAAATAACCTCAAACATTTGCGGCAATCGTTTTATATTTTTTCTTTTAGATTTCGTCTCCTTTCAAAATTTCTTTCAGACATTTTCCACCTCTCAATAGTAAAACCGATAATGAGATATTGATTTGTATTCGATATTATATTGACTGCTTTCGGAAAAGAAAATTTTCCTCAACTCTACAAACCGTTCCAAGTCCTTCATTTCCCAGTCAGATGTAAAACGATGTCGAAATGTATGATATAAGAATGCAATAACGCAAACAGAACTAATCAAAAATTAAG